CCCGGCTGCCCGCCCGAGCGTCCCCAGAGCCAGCGGGCAGGAGGTTAATTAATTAATTTCCTTTCTGTTGTGCAGTGCACGTCACGCGGGTTGCCCGGTTTGTAAAACGTACTCGTTTTTCTCTTTAGCCGCGCTGGCAAGAGCCATCATGACTTCCGAACTGTCCCCACCGCTTTCCTTTGCTCCCTCTGATGAAGACCAATTGCTGAGGAGATGGTTTGCTCCACGGTGCGGCCATTTCACAGTCATCCTTTGATTCAGTCTCTTGATTTATTAAGTCTAATTTGTTTCCAATACTTTTCTCTCTGACCTGGATCTATTTATTCTCCTTAGCTCTTTTAGGTCACATTAAGTCATGACTCTTAATCACCCATGCATTTACTGGTCCCTGTAGTTATTCTGCTGGGTTCGATATCACACCTTCCTTGGACCCAGATTCCGGTATTTCATTTTATTACCACGTATTCGTTTTCACTCATCAAGTTTTCTCTTATTTCCTAGAAATTTTAAAATAATGATAAAAAACCCTACTAATTTCTCTCCCTGCAGCTTTTGTTGTGTTTTGTTGTTGTTGTTGTTTTTGTTGTTTTGTTTTTTATTTGATCTGGCAAGCCCTCAGCTCTTTTCTGCAGCACTGCTTAACAGCCAGTACAACTTTTCTTATTCCAAGTTCCTTTTTTATTTCCTTCTGGTAGCTGCATACCAGATGATTTATCTCATCTATGGTTTTCTTTTCTCTAGAGACTAAGGATTATTAAAAATGCAAGAGGAAAAAAAGAGAACGAGTTCTGATTTTAATTGGAAAAATTATCCAATATTAGGAATTCAATATTTCTTAAAGTAGGTTAGGATAGTATTTTAACGTTAGTCAGACTCTGCATTTCAGCTACGATGTATCGGTGCCATTAAATAGCATTTTGAATGTGAATGAATGGAAATTAGTAATGCTGTCTTAGGTTTCACCATCTGAAATGTCGAACTCCTTTTCTTCTATCTGCTTATTCTAAGAGGAGGTAAGAATCTACAGTAGATGGTGTGCTGTCCCAGAGGTTGCTGCGATTTGGGCTGGGGTGTGACCTTTCAGCATCCCTGTTTTGATCTGTTTAAATTCAGGATTGACTGAATCGCTTTATTTTGTACAGACCTGGTTTGTGCGCGGTTATAAATGAGTCTGGCAGTGGTGCGGCTTCAGGTGTAGCAGTGGGGAAGAGCTGGACTCCAGCCATGCCCAGGAGAAGGTTTTCAGGCTTACTGTGACCCACAAGGACCTGCTGTGTCTTTTCTGAGGCCTCAGAACCGCTGCTCATAAATGTCCTTTCACTCACTGGACAGGCCAGAATGGAAGAGAAGCTGGAGGGAAAAGGAAGACGAATAAAAAGCGAATTTGTGTCATTGTGTTCTGCATGCAGATACCAGCGGCGCTGGCAGGCCTAGGCTTCTCTGTGCTTCTTTCCAGCATTTTCACTTTATTGCTGGTGCAGCAAGGGGAGAAGCAACAGGGTTTCTCCAGAGGGTGCTGGAAAACAGTCATCCCACTTCTTCGTGTCCAATCTCCGTTTAAAGCCTCTGGCAAATGTCTTTTTCCTGAAGTTAAAAAATATTGTCTGTCGTTAGACATTGTTGGTTTATTTACCATTATTATGTGCAGTACTATTGCCATCCTTCAGTAACGTTTGGTTTCTTTTTTTAATAATAAATAAAAACATAAGTGGCAGAGAGATTTTGATGTCTCATGATGGACTGCAGACCTTCCACCCTCAGAGATGGGGTTTCTAGCGTGGCTCAGAGAGGCTTTCTGTATGCGGGGCTCCCTCTGCTTGGCCCGTTAGCCAGGGTAACAGTATGTGCGCTCTACTAATGAGGAGTCTGCAAACAGCAGCCTCTAAAGGGAGCGAGGGATCAGAGCAGCGTGTATTTGTGGAGCCAGAAACGATCTGCCTCCATCTAAATTCCCCACGCATCACTTAGAAGAAATAAAGCAAATATATTATACAACAAAGATCCCTAAAAATGCAGATAGAAACGTATCAAAGGCTACAGCCAAATTCACGCTTGGTCTTGAAAGCTGTCCCCGCACAGTAATTCGCAAGGTGCTTTCCAGTCCCATCTGCTGTCAGGCGCTGCCCCCGTTTCGGCACTGCCGTCTCGTAACGCCGTGGCTCGGGCCCACGGAGCCGCTTAGACGTCCAGCCGGCGAGGATGGGGTCTCTGCATGTTTTGGTGCATGTGGGCGCTCGTGGTTGCTCTAGAGTCTCTGCTGTAGGAAGCATGATTCCGTCTTACCTGACACTCAAAATTGTCTCTACTTTTGGAAAAACCTTACAAACAGGATCTCTAGAGGCTGCGGCGTCAGAATATGAAAAAGCACTCATACGGCATTATTCGGGGGGGGGGGGGGGGGGAGAAAATGTCACAATTTTAAAGCAATCTGTTGATATATATTCTTGGGTGTACCAAAGGCATTCCAGTCAGCTAACTGGCCTCCAAACCGCAGCTGACAGCAGTATATGTGTCACAAAGCTTCGAGCAGGGCTGTTGCATGGCAACTGAGTAGCTGACGTTCGTATTAGTGTATTCCTTTAAGAATTTTCTGTTTTTCAGTGCTTGGTAGAAAAATTATTTTTTTAAAGCTTACCAGCAGTTATTGCCAGTCACCTACATTTTATGTAGAAATAAAAAAAGAGGAGGGTAATTCCTTACTAATGCGTGCGGGTATGGGGAGAGATGAGCACAGCACGTGGTGTTCTTCAGCTCAGGCGCCGCCGCGAGCTGCCGGCGGAGGCTTTCCTCTCCCCGGGTCCAGCTGGAGGAGTGCTGGGCACGTACTTAAACCTGCGTGGGGCACCTCTGATTTATGAGATCCATTTTTTCCCACCAGTATTCCTAAAAGAGGAGTGAAAGGCGACAAAGGTTTGTCCCAGCAGCTACCCGGGCTGTTCTCTGCTCTAGGGGTGTATCTTCCCTGATATGTCTGCTGAGCATTTGCAAGACAGGCACACAGAAGTCAGAACTGCGGCTCCTGGCAGCTTGGTGACGAATGCTACGTTCCTTCGCCACCGCTGCGGCCAGTTGGGCCTGTCGGCCTCCGACCGGGCTGTGTGAAGTCAGGCTTGCGTCGTTTTCGCTGATGGCCTATTAATTTGCAAGTGAAGCAGAGGGCAGCCTGCCTCCCTCTTGGGGATCGCCAGCCATGCGAGAGGGGTGTGTGATTTCATCTGGCGCTGTGGCACGCGTCCTGGGGACAGCTTTTAGAAGGACAAGAGGCTGAGAGAGAGGTTCTCCCGCCTGGCCGAGTAGCGCTTAATGCAACGCAAGGGTTGCAAGAGGAGAGGGGAGCGGGAAACGAGGGTTTCGTGCTGCTCACTCGGAAAGCTGCAAAGCCCCAGCCTAGCTGCTAACCCAAGGTCGTTTACAGATGTCACCTCGTGCCTTTGTGGTACCTCCTGAGGATCAGCTGGGCGAGCAGAGGCGCAGCAGTCCCTGAGAAGGTGTCAGAGCGAGCAGCTTTCCAGCGTAGCGGGAGTCAGCTGTGAATTCTTGGGATGGCTGTGTGCTTGCGATGGATTGAAACCGTTGGGGCCTGAATCCTTTCCCCGGCTCTGAATAAACTGAATCCCTTAAGTCCCCGAGCAGCCCAGCAGCAAGCGTGTGCTTATCACTAAGCCTGCGCAGGGCTGGATGGCACCAAACCCATGCTGATGGGTCCCAGTGCACAGGGACTCTTCCAGTATTACTGTGATTTGAAGCAATCGTGGGGAGCATTTACGATGTTAAAAGGACAGATTTTTGTGAATTGCCCTTTGGGAGTATTTTTGTTGCGTTCCCATGCGAATTTATCTTTCCATCGTAACGTATTGGGGAGTTTCGATCCTGGTTTGGTCTCGGGGATTCGGTTACACAATCTGCTGCAGGCATTAAAATCAGTTGCTTTGCCTGTACATGCTCCTGTGTTAGCTGATTTTTCAGAGGAGGTGATGATGTAAGCCTAGACATTTGAGGTGAAGATAAAGCCCTTGGCCTGCCTGCAGTTTTGGTTAGCTAAAGCACTTTAGCAACTTGCACTCAAAACATAGTGGATGTAAAACTGCAGTGAGTATGCACACAAATATTCCAAAGCATCCGTGAAGCCACTGTGAATAAAATGGAAGTGAGTGAACGTGATAGCTAAGAGGGCCTGTGAAATTTAGGCGCAGGACAAGCGTTTTAGCCAGACCTTTGGGATCGAGGCTAATGTGTATAAAGCTGAATGTCGCTATCTACAGAACGGGACGATTCTCAGGGATTCAGAAGGCCTTGTTGACCCGTCAGATGTGGCTGGAGTCAATGCAGAGAGGGATTTGCCTGCCTGCATGGCCGGGACCCCGGTCCTGCTCTCCCTTCCTCACGGGAGCTGCAAGGAGGTAGCATGAGCATCCCTTTTCTGAGGCAGGGTGTCAGAGGGGCCGTTTGGGTGGTAGCTGGGCACCCTTCTGCCACACCGTGGGAGTTTCCTTTCCAGAGTGGGTTTTTTCAAACCACACAGAAGAACTTGCTCGTACAGACCGAGGGGTACGGGCTGCAGGAGGCTGAGCGCCGGCCTTGCTCTTTTGCAGGACGATGATTCCCGTGACCGAGTTTCGCCAGTTCTCGGAGCAGCAGCCGGCGTTCAGGGTGCTGAAGCCCTGGTGGGATGTGTTCACGGACTATCTCTCCGTCGCCATGCTGATGATCGGTGTGTTTGGGTGCACCTTACAGGTAAATCAAACGGGATGGAAGCGAGGCGGGTGCTGAGGGAACACCACAAACGAGGAAGGTCCTCGCAAGGATGGTGTCACGTCTTGTTTTGTCTCTTGGGTTCACCCTGAACAAAGCAAAAATTTGCTGGTCCCAGGGTTAAAGCTGTTTAGGTAGCAACATCAAATAACACAGACCAGACTTTTAGCAGCTGTAAATCAGCAGAGTTGCGCTAGAGCTGGTGGAGCGGTGCCAGCTCCCGCTGAGATAAGAGCTGATGGTTTGGCTTGGATGCCTGTTTTCACCGCAATTTGGCGTAATGAAACAGATGATCAGCTTCAGTTCTTATTTGTTACCATTTTTCTGTTTAAAAGTTTGAAAAATGTAATTTTGCAATCTCTGGTTTTGTTTGGCAAATGTTAATATTCTTTCTGTCATTACACTTCAACGAGGTTTGAAATGAATGTGCTTATTTTATTAACACCACCCACAACTAACACTATGCCTCTTCCATTCCAAAGCATCTCTAAGGATGCTTACACGTAAACAATTGGCTTTACTGTCAGTCACTGTTAGATACGTTTTGCGAAAGAGCCAAAAGCTGAAAAGAAGTGGAAGGCACTGTTGGGGTGGAGTCCACAAAGCCAGAAAGTTACAGTACTCATTCAAACATGGATCTCATGTTTCTTGGCACGATTTAGGAGTGGAGCTAAAGGGACACATGGACAGAGCTCTTATTTCAGGGGAACTGGCTCACTTACATGGCCCAAGCTTTTCACATTCTGTGTCCCAAATTTCGCGTGAAATCAGCTGTAGCTTTGCCTGTATTCTCTGTTTTCAGGTATTTTCAATTGAAAAGATACGACGTCCATGTTTAAAAATCTCTTTATATAGAGCTGAATTTTGCATTGGTAGCTAAGTGTTTGCTTAAGCACACAAAGTAGAACATCTGTTGTTTTTAAGCTCACCTGCTTGATTGGATGAAAACTGGAAAACATTGTGTGGAAACACCGCGAATAATAGGCAATTTTTTTTTTATTCCCACTGATTACCAGAGGCATGAACCCCGGGTGTAAGTAAGGGTGTATATCAGAACAGCATTTGAAGACAAAGATTAACTGCAGGAGTTTTTGATGCATCAACCGTTACGGCACTGGTGTTGTTCAAAACACGTGTGGTCTCATCTCGGCGTCTCCCTGCACCAGGGTGGATCATCGAGGAGAACCTGGTTTTGGTACCTCTTGTTGCGTACCCAATATTCAGTGCTTTCAGCAACCGTGATGGCAAAGAGTACATCTACACCACACACCCATGCCCAGTTTGGGCTAATCCCAGTTCAAGGCAACGGTGCTCCTTGGTTTATCACGTGGATTAGCATTTTAAATTCAGGCCTATAGGGAGCCTTGCACTGAACTCAAACTGTTATCCCAAGTTAAACCAAAGGTGATCGGTCGCTAAAGGTGCTCTGGTCGCAGTTTGTCAACGTGGATGGCCAGCCCAAATTAAGAAAGTTGGGGGTTTTTTTTTGCATTGTAGGCAGACTCAAAGACAGAAGGACAGAGCTACTTTTTTCCCTCCAGGTGTGTGGTCTGAGGACTCCGTATATGTATGAGAAACTGAAGACAAATGATGTCCATGTGCACACAAATGCTGTCAATTCTCTATTATCCCTGTCTGTCTCAATAGACTGAAGATTAATAATGTCCCAACATAGATAGGCCCACGTTAGCTCTTTGTCAGCCACTTTTGGTGAGATAAGACATCACAGTGTGAGCATACAGCCACATGAATGCAGCGATGCTGCTTTCAAGCCTAAGCTATCTCTGAACATCGTGTAGCCAGGGTGCCTGGACCTGGCAAGAACAGTCTGTCTTTGGGGAGAGCAATGCAGGAGATCCCTGGTCTTTTCTGGAAGCATCACCCACACTTCTCCTTTTTCTGGATTATCTCAATGTCCTCTTACTCAAAGGGTAGCCGTAGATGAACAGGGGTGACCTAGTTCTTGGCATATAGAACAAGTGTCTTGTTGGGAATAATTAATAATAATAATAATAATAATAGCAGCACAGACTGTGGGGCCAAGTGCCAGGCTGTGGGGAGGAATGCCTGGCAGCTGGAGGAGCTCCAAGGACAGCTACCCGTTGGTGGTGCCATCATTGTTTGTACATCAGTTTAAAAGGTGTCTTTTTGTGTGTTTCAGGTCATGCAAGACAAGATAATATGCCTTCCGAAGCGCGTGCAGCCTTGCCAGAACCAATCAAACAGTTCAAATGTGTTTAACACAATCCCAGATACAACCCCCCTTCCTCCTCCACCCAAGCCATCCACCCCTCCAGCTACAGTTGAAATGAAAGGACTGAAGACTGATTTGGACCTTCAGCAGTACAGCTTTATAAATCAGGTGTGCTATGAACGTGCCCTGCACTGGTATGCCAAGTACTTCCCTTACCTTGTCCTGATACACACACTGGTCTTCATGCTGTGTAGTAACTTTTGGTTCAAGTTCCCCGGCTCGAGCTCCAAAATAGAACACTTCATTTCAATACTCGGGAAATGTTTCGATTCTCCCTGGACGACACGAGCCTTATCCGAAGTGTCAGGGGAAGACTCCGAAGAGAAGGATAACAGGAAGAACAACATAAACAAGTCTAATACCATCCAGCCAAGCGCTGAAGGCACTTTGGTCAAGACACAGTCTTTAAAGTCAATCCCTGAGAAGTTAGTTGTGGATAAGGGAACCCCTGGGGCATTAGATAAGAAAGAAGGTGAGCAGGCCAAAGCGCTGTTTGAAAAGGTGAAGAAATTCAGACTGCATGTTGAGGAGGGTGATATACTCTATGTCATGTACGTTCGCCAGACTGTACTTAAGGTCATTAAATTCCTTATTATTATTGCTTACAACACAGCGCTTGTCTCGGAAGTTAATTTTACGGTAGTCTGTAATGTTGATATTGAAGACATGACGGGATACAAGAATTTTTGCTGTAATCACACGATGGCACATCTGTTTTCCAAACTTTCTTACTGCTACCTGTGCTTTGTAAGCATCTACGGCCTCACATGCCTTTATACGCTATACTGGTTGTTCTACCGTTCGCTGAAAGAGTATTCTTTTGAATATGTTCGGCAAGAGACAGGAATTGATGATATCCCAGACGTCAAGAATGACTTTGCCTTTATGCTTCACATGATCGATCAGTACGATCCTCTCTATTCCAAGCGGTTTGCTGTCTTCCTCTCTGAGGTCAGTGAAAATAAGCTGAAACAGCTGAACCTAAACAACGAGTGGACTGCAGATAAGCTGCGACAGAGACAGAGGCTGCAGACGAACTCCCACAGCCATTTGGAGCTGCAGCTTTTCATGCTCTCTGGGCTACCAGACACAGTGTTTGAAATTACTGAGCTGCAGTCGCTAAAACTTGAAATAATCAATAACGTGATGATACCAGCAACCATTGCACAGTTGGACAATCTCCAGGAGCTCTCGTTGCACCAGTGCTCTGTGAAGATCCATGGCGCCGCCTTGGCGTTTCTGAAGGAGAATCTCAAGATCTTGAGCGTCAAGTTTGATGACATCCGAGAGCTTCCGCACTGGATGTATGGCCTCAGAAATTTGGAAGAGCTCTATTTGATTGGCTCCCTCAGTCACGACATTTCCAAAAACATTACACTGGAGACTTTTCGGGAACTTAAAAGCCTTAAAGTTCTTTACATAAAAAGTAATTTGTCCAAAATCCCGCAATCTGCAGTCGATGTTTCAGGTCACCTGCAAAAATTGTGCATCCATAATGACGGCACTAAGTTAGTGATGCTCAACAACCTGAAGAAGATGGTCAACCTGACGCAGCTGGAATTGGTTCATTGTGATTTGGAGCGCATACCTCACGCCGTCTTCAGCCTTCTCAGTCTTCAGGAGTTGGATCTGAAGGAGAACAACCTCAAATCCATTGAAGAAATAGTAAGTTTTCAACATCTGCGAAAACTGACAATCCTAAAGCTGTGGTACAACAGTATAACGTACATCCCAGAGCATATAAAGAAGCTCACCAGTCTCGAGCGGCTTTCCTTCAGCCATAACAAAATAGAGGTTCTTCCATCCCACCTATTCCTATGCAACAAAATCAGATATTTGGATTTGTCTTACAATGACATCCGCTTTATCCCGCCTGAAATAGGAGTGCTGCAGAGTTTACAGTACTTTTCCATTACTTGCAACAAAGTGGAGAGCGTGCCAGACGAACTCTACTTTTGCAAAAAGCTTAAGACTCTGAAAATTGGGAAAAATAACTTGTCGGTCCTTTCGCCTAAAATTGGTAATTTGGTATTCCTCTCCTACTTGGATATTAAAGGCAATCACTTTGAAATCCTCCCACCGGAGCTCGGCGAATGTAGAGCTCTGAAGCGGACTGGTTTCACTGTAGAGGACACCTTGTTTGAAACGTTGCCTTCTGATGTCAGGGAACAAATGAAAGCTGAGTAACGAACTTCCTCTCGCTCGCTTTTCCAGAAATAACGCTTCTACCAAATAGGCTGTAGAAAGTGCATACTCCGAATATGCATTTAGTTTGTCATTCTTTTTTTCTTTTTCAGACAAATCCTTTCTGTACAAACAAATTTGGAGTAAGGAGTACATATATTTTTTAATAAAATTTTCTCGTATTTTTTCACTGTTTTAAGATATTTTTTAAGTTTGTTTTGCCCTGAGAACAAGGGGGTCTGTAACTTAATTTTTACTGGTAAAAGTAAATGGTTTTATCTGCTGATTTGTTTTTTTTTTTCTTTCCTTTGCCTAATCCCAACAGGGGAACTGTGTTTAAGATGTATACTTTGGGTTGCATACTTTGTAATAGATGATTATATTGTCTTCCTGGTTATTTAATCCCTTAGGACACGGTCTTCAACGGGTGGTGCTGCGGGTGTTGAATGCCTTGTTTCCTCTTTCCTTCAGTGGCAGCAGAAGGTGTTCAACATCTTCCCAAGATCGAGTCTGGGTTGGGCATCCTTTTCTTATTTATGACGTGCTTGTCTCAGATGGTCGAAGCAAGTCGAAAAGGTTCTTGATGTATTTTAACGCGTCTGGGGGAGCGCGCAGAACTCCTTCAGGGCCTTTGGGCAAGCTCAGCCTAGCTGTCCCTTCGCCCCCCGCCCCGAGCAGCGGGCGCTGACTGCCGTTTCCTCCCCGGCGCGGGAAGGGTAAGGCCACGGTTCCCAGAGGAGTCGGGACCAAAGTGAGTCACGTTGAAGATTTTCCGAACAGTGCAAAGGGACGTGGCTGCCCGTTTCCCGCTGGCTGGAACGGAAGGGGCGCAGTGGACTCGCTGTGTTGGAAACGGCAACCCAGCGAGGGGAAACGCTACCTTGAAAAATCCCCATCCTCCCCTAAACGCCCCGTCCTGCAAGGGAGATCGTGCCCTCACTTCCCACCGGGACGCTTGGCACCTTGCGGGAAGGGGATCCAGACAAAGTGCAATCATATTTAGTTTGTCAAGCTTCTGACAAGGAAATAGCGTCTGATACGCTCCGTAGTTGAGCTCGGGTACCATATCACCAAGCTCAGCACAGGGACATTTGCAGATATGCAAGAATGAGATTAAACGAATAGATTAACTTCTTAAAAGTCTCAGCCTGCCAGAGGACAGTGGTGAAGGCTGCGTTTTCATCTTCCAGCTAGTAATTAGATCAGGAATCGTACAGCTGGAAGTCTGCTTTTTAAACTAATGTAATAATCCGGAACGATTATGCGTCGGGTTAGGAACTTTATCCTCTGAAGCCATGTCCCGTTGTTTATTTAATCCAGCCATTTGCTTTCTTTTAGGCAAGTTTGGCGGGTACATGGTAACTCGTGTGCTGCTGGCAAGCTAACGTCAGCTCATCAAAAATAACCATGAGATGGTAAAACATTTTCCAGGGAGAAGATCCCTTCGTCCTACCCAACAACACGTATTTGAGTCAGATGCAGGCACTGGATAAATATTTTGTAAGAATATCTAGGAATCACTACTTCTTTCTCTAGGAGGCAATGCTGCTCATAAATTGCAGAGGTTGAGTTGTTCATTGGGTAAAGTGATGTGAAACAATTGTTTGGTGGTTGGCAGGTGGATTGCTCTGAAGTCTTTTCTAACTGCCCTTGCGTGTCTTGAGCTACAGATAATCTGAGTTCTCGAGCTGGGTACAAAAGCATACTGTTGTTTTTAAAGAGTCTGACTTACAAAGGTGGGGAGGCGGACTAAAACGAGAATTCCCTCGTTAATCCAGGGTGTGCTATGCAATCTGGTATGTGGGCTCGCCACAGTACCCAGTCAGACTTATTTTTTTGCGCTTGGCTGTGTTCTGGAGGAGATCCACGTGATTAATCAAAAATGGGTCAGGCATGAAGGAATCAAAGCAAGCTTTTTTTAAAGGGGGTTGATTTCGTTCTATTAAAGACCTATAACTGATGTAGCTGTCGCGAGAGCTACCCTTACTCGTGTGTGGAATGCACTTACTGGAACCGCTTGGCAGTATGTGTGTTCTAAATGTACTTCACTTTGATGTCATCTGAGGGAGAGAAGTGTTTCATTGCTCATATTAACCTAATTATGTAAACCAAAGTGCTGTTGTCCCTGATGAATGTAAACTGTTTAAAATGTCCAAGTAATCGGTGGAGCTGTATAGTTCTCGTACTTAGATTTGAAATATGGGATCACATTTAAAGTTGTTTTTTTTTTTTAAAAAAAAAAGTCTTTCTATTCTTAGACGTAGCGTTTTACATCCCTAATTTATTTTGTGTCTGATGTTGTTTCCTGGGTAGTTTGTGCTCTGATTCCCGAATGGGGGTTACGCGCACCTCGTGACGGAAGGTTGGAGGCTTGTTCTATGCCATTTTTGTAAATACATCACTTAGGGGATGTGGGGGTTTTGTTTGTTACTGATTATATTTGTACCGGTGCAACCCCTCATGTGGACACAGTTACATGAGTAAGAAGTGCCTTGTGCTGGCGTATCTTTATTCACTTCATAGGAATAAACTATACCGGTCTAAGCACTTTTGCACTAATAACTGTATCTTCTCCAAGGGTTTGGTCTGCTGGGACAGCTTAGTCCGTCTGACAGCTCGCTGCCACCAAAAAGGGGCAGTTCCCTCCTCCTCCCGTGCTCCCTGTTCCTGCCAGCGTGTTCCAGCTGCTTCTCTTGTACCTTTACTGGTCTGGTGCTGGTGCGATCCCTCCACAGGACAAATCAACTTTTTAAGCAAGTCGAAAACAAAGGGACTAACTTTCTGCCGGATCAGCTCTCCGAAGGATCGGATGGACGCGAGGGTGGGAGTCGCAAGGGGACAGGACTCTGCAGCCAGGGCCCAGGCAAGGAGATGGTGGGACAAGTCCCTTGGGAGGCGCTGAGCTGCTGGGTCAGTTCATCCTCTTGCCGAGCCACGTGCTTGGAGAGCTGTGCTGGTTTATCTGTAGCGGGGTCCGGCACCATGGCGCGTGTGGGGAGGCAGCCCTCAGGCTCGCGGTGAATGAAAAAATACCCCATTACTGTTAATTGCTTCAACTTAATGAAACAAACTCAGGTAGCTGCACTGTTGACTTTTCTAAACTTCTTACTGTCTAGTCTGTGGGGTGTATTTTCCAAAACCATATTACAGTGTTTTAGAAATGAGTCAGCTAAGAGAAGATTGTTTCCTAACTCTGTATGACATCCAGGAAAATATGTAAAAGTGCCATATTTACTCAGTGATTCATGTACTGCTCATATGTATATTCACATGCAATGCATACTAGACTTTTCTGTGACCTGTTTGACTTAGGATGGATGGACATTTTGTGGATAATACTTTAGGCATGGTTTGTATATATACAAAGAGTTTATATCACTACTTGCATTAATCCGGTGCCTAACAAGTACAACAACTCCAGAATATAAGTAAGGCATTTTACATTATTGCTCAAAAATAATACAAATCTTCCTTGGTAACAGAAGCAGAGATGACAAAGAGTGCATCAAAAATAAGAAGACAACCTTAATAGTACCTTAAGCCTGAAAAGCAAAGCTACTTTGTGATCAAAATCTGGAGATGTGCATCTCCCCCTTTGTCAAAATTAGCGTGGGTATTTGTGCTGACCCCTTGCATCTAGCCAGCCCAACAACTTTAGCAAATTCTGATTGGAAAGCGCCTGCTCCAAGCCTCATAGCACATTTCTGGCACTTCCAATAATTCATGTGCTTAAGTGGCGACGAGTCCTGTAAGAATGCCAAGGGAAAACTTGGAAATTTGACCAAATGGACAAACTTCTTAATTCTGTAGCAAGAATCTTGATACGACAATAGGCCTGCGTAGTGTTACGTTGCAATATAGTACACCCAGAACAAGTGGAAATAAAATGCTCTTTTGTAATAATGAACATTGTCGGACTGCAATGTGATTATTTGTTTGGGAAACGTTTTGTTTCTGGGTTACCTAAAGATCAAACATAACCATCTTTTGGGTTTGATCCCTTGGGAGGGAAATCGGGGAAAATATGCTTGAAAAAACATCGTTAGACTTGACAGGATTTATGGCCGCGTGGTCTCGCTTCCTGTGCACCTCCTCCTGTCAGAGCAGCTCCCCCGCTCCGGTCCCGGTGCTCTGCCAGGGCTCGGAGGGGGACGCGGGGGCCCTGCCAGCCCAGGGTTCCTGCATGGGGGCTCCTGCCTCCCCCCTGCCACGTGCCCGCGGCGCTGAGGGAAACGATGCTGTTAGTCCTTGCGTCTGACGTAACCCCCTATAAATCTCCCGAGCAAAGGTGATGGGTGTTTGGTGTGGGGCATTTCCCCCCTTTCTCTCTAAGTTGGAAGCAATAACGTGTTTCAGCGTTGGGTTTTTTTTTATACTGGGACAATGCTGTCCTGCCAAGATGGAGCAAGAACTGCTCCCCTCTGGTCCTTGTGGTCCCAGGGAGAGGAGGGGAGCAGTAAGCACAGCAGCCTGAGTCGGCTTTGCCTCTGGATCAGCGCTGGCAGGGAGCTGGCAGCGGGGACACGCTGCCCCTGGGGCACGGTGGGCCTCGGGGAGGCGTCGAGGAAGCCTTGCTGACGCCGCCTGCTCCTCACCTCCGGGCTGTTCCCTGCGACGATGCGGAGGGCTGGGAAAGCTGCTCTGCTCCTTCCAGCCCTGCTCCTTCCCACCGGCCCCGCAGGAGGTGATACCATCTCGGGGCCGCACCCGGCGGGATGGGAACGATGGCGCAGGCGAAACCAGTGCGGGGATCCCTGGGGTGATGAGATCACGGTGCTGGAGCAGGTGTCGCCCTGTTTGTTAGGTGTTTGTCAGGTGCGCTGGTGGCAGGAGAAGTTCATGGCCTGAGTTGAGCACTGGCAAACCTCTTCTTTCCCAGTTTGCTGAATACGCGTGCTGGGGAGCGGGAGTTAACCGGCGCAGATGCCGTGCCTTGAGAAACCCCCGCCCCGAACCCCGGGGGGCTCCCAGGGCACAACCCCACCTGCAGCGACGTTACCTCCTTGCCAGCAAGCAGCAACGCTAGGGCCAGTTTGTCCTTCGCTTCACGCCAGATAGCTACTGGGAATTCCCAGTAACCATGACGGTTTGCTTGTATGTCTTCACATATCGAATTTGATAGTAAGAAAATCGCGCATCTGCCCTCTTTTGTCCTTCAGAACATACGTGAAGCCCTGAAGATTCAGA